CTTAAATCTGCCCATGAGCCTTCAAGTAAGAACAGACCATCCAAGCCCGAGCATCTTGAAGCCAAACGTCGAGGCTTGGATACTACCTAAACCCTGAAGCTTGGGGTGTTCCCCTTAAACCCTGAAACTTGGGGCGTTCCCCCCCTTATACTAACTTTCCTTAATAGGGGTTATAATCGGGGGTACTAACATCTCGATTGAGGACTGTTAGTATAAGGGAGAGCATCCCAACCTGAACCCTTCATGTCTAAGCCCCTAAGCCCCACGCTCCAAAGCTGGAAGGAAGGTATGGCTTGTTTGGGTGGCGCTGCAAGCGGGGCTTACTTGAAGGCATACGGTTGAAAGTACCACGAGGTTGCAACTACACCTCTCCTACTTCGAACCCCAGTTCTATCTAAGCATGAAGCTTTTCAAGTACTTCGGGTTCCCTAACGCCCTGTAAGGCTTTGCACCAGGTGCCCCTTCCTGCAACTAGTTGTCATTGGGATCATACGTAGGGTAACTCCTAACCTTGTTGTAGGACACTTGTATGACTCGGCCCTACCGCCTTCAAGTAAAGCCCTCCATCAAAGACATAAACCCTAAACCCTAAACCCCAAACCCCAAGCCCCAAGCCCCAAGCCCCAAGGCCAAGCCCCAAGCCCCAAGCCCAACACCCTAAGCCCTAAACCCTAGACCCTAAATCCTAAACCCTAGACCCTAAACCCTAAACCCTAAACCCTAAACCCTAAACCTTCCCAGGAGAGCCAGGCTCCAAGGAGCCACCGCCGTGCCGACGACGGCCCCCTCAGGCTTGCCTTGGCTGATCGGGCTTATATAGGGCTTGTATAGTGTTTAGGGTTTAGGGTTTAGGGTTTAGGGTTTAGGGTTTAGGGCTTATAGGGTCCTAAATACAGGGTTTCGGATTTTTGGGTTTAGGGTTTAGGGTTTCGGGTTTGGGGTTTCAGGGCAGGGTTTGGGGGTTGGGGGGGTTTGGGGGTTGGGGGGGTTTGGTTTGGGTTTTACGGTTTAGGAGTTGGGGCTTTTTGCGGTTTAGGAGTTGGGATTTTGGGTTTCGGTTCAGGATTTAGTTGAGAGTCAGAGCAGTGGGCGCAGGGCTTTGGGGAGGGTTTAAGGTTTTGGTTTTAGGTTTTAGGGTTTAGGGTTCAGGGTTTAGGGTTTATCTGGAGATTCATGGACTAGGTTTAGGGGCAGCGGTCTAGGGTTTGAAGTGCAAAGCAGTTTTTTTGCTTCTGACTAGACATATACTTGTAAGATATGCAAAGAAAGCAGTCCTTGTATTCCTCCTGTGTACCTAGGGCACAATCCCTTAACCAAAGCTTAACCCTCAACGCAGCCCCGTAAACCCTGAGCCCTCAAGGAACAGCACCCCTAAACCCTGAACCCTTGACCCTAAACCCTGAACCCTAAACCCGAAACCTTAAACCCTAAACCCTAAACCCTAAACCTGGAACCAGGTCCGAGGTGACGTACGTGCGTCGAGCACAGTCTGCGGAGGTGGAGCTGCGGGCAGAGGTCGAGGAGAGAGGGTTTGGGGTTTAGGGTTTAGGGTTTAGGGTTCAAGAGCTCCTGGTCGAGCAGTTTCTCGTTTAGGTTCGCTGTTTAGACCGTCGAAAAATACCCACCCACCCGGAGTTCCCATAACATAAAGAAATACAAAGTTTCTTATTTTTCGGATGGCTCAACATCAAAACTGATGGGTTTGGGGTCTCAAGGGTTTAGGGTTTCAAGGGTTTAGGGACTCAAGGCTTTAGGGTCTCAAGGGTTTAGGGGCTCAAGTGTGGTCTCAAGGGTTTAGGGTCTCAAGGGTTGAGGGCTCAAGGCCGGGCCTTGCCCACGAATATTTGGGCCTTGCCCACGAATATTTGGGCCTTGCCCACGAATACCATTAAGGTTTATAATTATGTGGTAGGAGAGGTTTAGGGTTTAGGGTTTAGGGCTTCAACCCTAGGATTTAGGGTGTAGGCCCTTATTCCCTTTTTTGGCGGGTTCAGGTTCCCTTATAAGCCCCTTTAAACCTGAGATACTTTTTGTGACATTTTTGTGTTCCCTTTGTTGGGTTTAAGAGGGTCATTTTTACAAATAATTTCCTAAACCCTAAACCCTAAGCCCCAAACCCCAAACCCCAAACCCCAAACCCCAAACCCTAAACCCTAAACCCTAAACCCCAAACCCCAAACCCTAAACCCTAAATCCTAAACCCTAAACCCTAAACCCTACACCCTAAACCCTAAACCCTAAACCCTAAACCCTAAACCCTAAACCCTAAACCCTAAACCCTAAACCCTAAACCCTAAACCCTAAACCCTAAACCCTAAACCCTAAACCCTCAAACCTAAACCCTAAACCCTAAACCCTAAACCCTAAACCCTAAACCCTAAACCCTAAACCCTAAACCCTAAACCCTAAACCCTAAACCCTAAACCCTAAACCCTAAACCAAACAATTTTGAGAGGTTCTTAAGGGCCATATTGGTACAAAGGAGGAGAGAGGGGTAATGGGGACCTGGCAGCCCAGTAGCACCCTTTCCCTTTTTTTTTTGGTTCAACGTTCCCTTATAAAGTAGCCAACCCAAAAAGGGGGCCCTTATGGTGACAGGGCTACCAAGAGAAGCGGTATGAACGATGCAGCCCTGTCTAGCCCTAGAACGTGTGAGATGTGAGAAACGCAAGGACAGAACCAGTTTTGTTTTTTCTTTTGGGGGGGGGGGGGGGGGGGATGGGATGTTTGTTGTCTTATGTGTGCTTCTTAGGGGCCAGGGGGCTTAAACCATGAACCCATGGCTCAAATTTCTCAATGTTTCACGCCCCAGACGTTACTAAAAACCGGCAGTGCAAAACTCTACGAATATGAAGAACCTCGAAGGAGGAGCGTCTGAAAGAGGGTTTATAGAGGATTTAGGGTTTATGGTTTAGGGTTTAGGGTTTAGGGTTTAGGGTTAGAATTTAGGGTTTAGGGTTTAGGGTTTAGGGTCTAGAACCCAAACGACTGGGCTGATGTTCTTCACCGCTTTCGAGTTACGCAGCTAAGACTCAGGCGAAGAGTGTTTAGGGCTTTGGGCTCTTGAATCCTGGGCCTAGGTATCTCCAGCCTCGCGCTTCCCCCTTCAAGCCTTACAATTTGGGTTTAGGGAATAGGGTTTAGGGTTTAGAGGTTTGAAAAACCGGAAACATCTCGCAAGAGCCCCAATCGCAAAGCCTTAGCCTTAAGCTCCCAGGGTTCACCACAAATGGGAACTGCAAGCCCGAAATTGTCGTCTACGGGCTGGAAGGTTGGGTAATGTTGGGTATCAGGAATTCCCTCAACCAGCATTCCAAGCCCCAAACCTACTTTTTGCTTAAGAACCCCCAACTAAAAATCCCTATATTGCACTTAATAAGCAAGAATATATTTTGGGGGGGTTCTTAATCAAGCAGTTCGTAGAAATCTGCAAACCTGCAAATTGTCAAGGAGCTGCGCCGGGTCAACAGTCACATGGCGCACGCCTTGCAGGTCCTTTGGATGGCTTGCTCAGGGGATTGGGTTTTGGGTTTAGTGTTTGGGGTTTGGGGTTCAGGGTTTAGGGTTTGGACGTTATATCGGGAAGCCAACTTAAAGTCTGTACTGAAGGGCTGAAAAAGGGCCTAGCCTTCGACCCCAAACCCGCAGGCCCGGCAAAACCCTATTCTGTAAGCCTTCCTGTGCTCTAAGCCCCACAGCCCAAAACCCCGAATCCTTCCGCACCCAGCAAATCCTGAGCCCTACGCGAAGCACAGCTCCCATGCTTGAAGGCTCACGGGTAGTTTTGTCTTTTTTTGGTGTGGTTAGAATATGTACCCCAGATCAGGTTAATGTTGACCTCCTATTAATAACCCCCCCCCCCCGTCTCAATTGATTTTTGTTTCCGGCCGCCCCGCCTACCCAGAGACTCCAAAACCCCTTAATTAAGGAATATACCTTAAATTATCATAGGAACCCTAATATGATTTAAGGTAGATTCCTTAATTAAGGGGTTTTGGAGTCTCTGGGTATTGAGGGGGGGGGGGAGGGGGGGGGCAGGGCTGTTCTGAAGCTTCGGGGTTGGTTTCAGGGCACCAGGCTGTAGCTCAAGGCCCGACTCTAAAACCCTAAGACCCTGAACCCTAAGACCTAAACCCTAAACCCCCGCCAACAAAAATAGGCCCTGGCCGGGATTTCTCATTATTGAGGGGGGGTTTGTAATTGAGTTCCGGGATCCGAATTCTTTAATTACGGGGGGTTTTTTTAATCTGAGGTTAACATTACGACAAATTAAAGGCACGGTATCCGCTCGTACAACCCTAAACCCTACAACCCTTCAAGCAGGAGCGTACTGCGCAACAGAAGGAAGTGGAGCGGAACGCCCGGCTCTGAGGTGTTAGGGTTGAGTACAAGGCTTCAGGGGGCTCAGGGTTTAAGGTAATTTGAAGAAAAAAGTGTGATGTTTCCGGATGCAGGGTTTCGGATGCTTTGCTTCCGCTCAACCCTAAACCCCCAACCCTAAGCCCTAAACCCCCTTTGTTTTAGAGCTATGTCTCCCGACCCGAAAGAAACACCTCAATGTGTTCCCCTGTTCATTCCGAAGTTCTTGAGGGTCTTCTGTTGACCTCGAGTCTAGAGCTTACTTCAAGAACTAGTAGACTGCAAGTTTATGCCAGAACTTCCTACTTTGGGGGCATGCTGCGTTTAGCGCAGCTAGGTCTTCTAGATTGCGGCGTAGGTTTTAGGGTTTAGGGTTTAGGGGCTTCAGATTTATTTGTGATTTCGGCTTGAGGCACGGGCTGACATCGTCTGATGCAGTATAAGGACCCTAGAACAAAACAGTGACATCGAGGGAGCCCCAAACCCCTTAGCTTAGGAATATGCAAACACCTTACATTACAATCGGGATATATACATATAGGTGTATCCTTGTAAGCAAAGGCCTTTCTGCTGCCTTTGTTTCATTCATTGTCTATATAAAGGCCCCAAGCTTACCACGGCTGTGGCCCACCTCGATCTTGATGGCATCAGCTGCCTCAGCGTCCCTTGTCAAGTATGTCCTGTCGGTTCCTGCCCTGGACTGGACCGACCCATGAGCTCATCATCCTTGCGCCGAAAGAAGACGGAGCCAAGCAACTTCCATGGTTCAGAAATGCTTCTAGGTGCCCCAGTGTCCTAGGAAAAGACAAAGATGCACATTTGTTTGTTGAGTGTCTGTTTAACTGAGAACCCAACCCCCACGAGAAGGAGTTTGATGGTTGCTGTTCAGGAGCTTAAACGAAGATAATCACTGTACATACCTTTGAAACGATAAGTTGCAAGTAGTACGGAGCCTTTTTCTGGTAGCTCATTTTGGAAGCTCCGGCACAGCAGCCAAGGCAAGGCCACGGGCAAATACAGCAAGGCGAGTAAGTATGCGAAAAAGGATGAGAAGGGTTCCTGGGAAGAGCCCCGCGCTGCTGCGGGAGATTCCAAGCCCGTATCCGAGAGCAGCAAGATCGAAGACCAGGCTGTTTGCATGCCTTCGGTACCTTTGAAAGGGGTCGGCGCCGAGGCGATCTCTGTTCAAGTGTCGGTGCACGACAAGAACCGAGACGAAGACCCGCACACCACGCTCATGCCTCCTAGGGAAGAAGAGTGTCTTCCCGAGACGATCGCAGAATCCAGGCTGACTCGCTTGACACACCGATTGACGGACCGTTCGACAGGCAGGAGGGCTCACAACGATCGCCTGGTTTTGGATATGGGGATTTCCGAAAATGGGGGTACCCCTTATATACCCCAAGACACTATATATAATTCTTGCAAGGGAGCGCCAAAAAGGGTACACCCCTATTTTCGGAAACCCCCATCTAGGATCCAGGACCTGAACCCTCGGGAGAGCTGCGCTACTGTAGTGCGTCAGAAGCTGGTCTTCAGCTGCAGCATGTGTTGTCAGGCCTTGAGGAGAAGAGAACCAAACAGTCCGAGTATGTGCAGAAAGCAGACGGCGTCTTGAGAGAAGTTTGCAAGATGCTTAACGGCAGGGAGCAAGGAATTGCACTTTTCCCTCAAGGCCCTGGCGCCCAAAAGACCCTCGAGGCCTGCTTCAAGGTTCGCGAGTAGATATAAGTCGGGTTGTCTGTCGGACTCCAAGTAAGGTTTCAACCAGCTTCAACTGTCGTAACAATACTTATAGCTCCAGGTACAACTACCCATGAAACTGCAACTAGACGTCAGCCCAAGTCCTGAGAACCTGAGCCCGAACCACACGAAGACGTGTGGACAAGCCGCTCTTCTCCGCGAAAACCAAAAGTCTTCACCCCTGTAGTTCCTTATGACAGCGCGTTTATCTGGGCAAGACCCAAATCAGAGGAACCCTTTTTTGGCCCTGCAACAGAGACCCAAACACCCTAAACCCTAAACCCTAAACCCTCACCTGCATGGGCCCATGACTTAGATCAAGCCGCCTGAACAGGCTGGTCTACTCGCAAAGTTTAGGTCTTCGAACCCCCCAAAACCCTACTCTAACTACAAAGCCCCTATAGTATAGGGTTCGGGTGTCGGGGTTATGATCTGACTTCATGCCCAACCCTGGGACCTGTAGGCTAATATGCACCGCACGCTGCAGGAAAAAGAAGGCCGACCCCATACTTACCATCAAGCGCAGCTGGCAGCGCGTGGCGGCGTACTCTTTGGCGGCGATGTTCTGCATGTTCCCCTGCGTGAAGCTCATGGTGATCCCTTGCTTGGTCTACACGTATGGCTGGAAGCCGCGACATTTGGTGGAACGAAGGCCAGTGTTGTTGGTGGTTGAGGCATGCATATGGCTTAACCTACTTCTTCAAGGCGGAATGGAAGTCTATCGTGTTTTCCAGTACTACTGGGCCGTAGAGTCTGGACTGGAGCTGCGCATCATCATTGGGCAGGTGCAGCTGGAGCAGCTGGCCGCCATCACCACCTTGGGCTCCGTCGTCTTGTGGCGCATCCTCAGGGTGCACATCGTCGAGGTGCGGGCGCACGTGTACTGGCACAAGGTGAAGGCCGAAAAGGTGCTCCCTCCCTTGGCTACAGATGCTAGGAGTAGGGTCTTGGGACATTTTACATCTTCCCCTTATTGGGTTTTAAGAGGATCCTTTTCATTTTTTTTGAGGGTGTTGTTTTAATATTCAGGGCCATCCGAGGATGTTCTGAGGAAGCTCCGACATGGGTTTCCTGGGCCATGGGAAGGCAAAGACAAGGAGTCGGGGGAGACCCGGCTGCCCCCGATGAACTTCAGTCAGGTCCAGCAACACCCGACAAGAGTTGACAAGATGCTGGCAGTGTGCTCGGCAGCTGTCATGGGTGTAGGCATGTGGTATCTGTACGCCCAGCTCGAAAAAACCAGCCAGCTGAAGTTCAGCCTCTTCCCAATAGGTGACTCGTGGATTAACCTGGACGTATCCATGGCCATTACTGCCGCGCTGACAACCTTCAGCTGGTACAAGACCATGTGCTTTGGTAGCCCAGTGGTGCCCTTTACCCTGTTTTTGGGGTTGAAGGTTCTCTTATAAGAATAACCCACCAAAAAGGGTACCCTAGTTAGAATATGGTTGCTGCGCTGCTAAGGTGCGGAATTTTTGGTTCGGTCAGATCCATGAAGGCAAACAGGAGTCAGCTGCTACTCTTCTCGGCTGCAGCTACCATCTGCGATCTTGACGAACTGTCAGCCTGCGAGCGCGACTATTTAAGGGAGGAGCTAAAAGACTTGATCACCCGAGAAATGTTGGAGAAGCCGGCGTCTAAGGCCGGCGAAGTCCTTCATGCGCACCCCTGGCTTGCCAGCCTCTGCATGCGCTGGCTTCCTGAGGAGGATCGCAGCATCCACGAGCACAACCAAGACATCTTGCGCCAGGTGCGTATTTGCCCAGAGACTCGAACCCGAGTATAATGGCATTAAATAATCCTCGTAATATCAAGCCAAAAAAGGATCACAAGCTCCTTACAACAATGTTAACTATTGTTGATTGGGATGTTCCGCCTTATACTAACAGTCCTCAATAGGGATTATAACAGGGGGTACTATGGACTGTTAGTATAAGGGGGGGGACATCCCGGGTATACAGCCCTAAACCCTAAACACTAAACCCACAGGGGGTATAATCTGCTAGTATAGCGGGGGGGGGGGGGGGGGGGGCGAACATCCCAAGTTGTAGGGTATGCAGCCCTAAACCCTAAACCCTAAACCCTAAACCCACAAGGGGTATAACCCCTAGTTTCTCAAAGCCACCAGAGGTGGAGGAGGAGCTGAATGAAGAGAACGGGCTCGAGACGATTCTACCCGAAGCCTTGGAAGCAACTTTGCCTTGAACGACTTTTCTTATTATGTGTTTTTTTTAGTCTTTATAGGGATTATTGTTATGATAAGGATGTCTATTCTTATTAGGTGTGTGTTTTTTAATCTTTATAGGGATTATTGTTATGATAAGGGTGAATATCGTTGTCATAAGGATGATAAGGATGCTTCTCCTTACTATAAAGAATAGCATTTATTGCAAGGGTTTTGTTGTTTTTGTGTTCCTGAGGAAGTCCATTTGTTGTTTAGAAAGATAGCCAGTCATCACGATTGTCCTAAGGTGCATACCGTAAGTCCTCTAAGCCTCAGCCGTCAGGCTCTCAAAGAGACCAGAAAGCGTAAAGCCGAAACCCTAGAACCTAAACCCTAGCACCTAATCCCTAAACCCTAAAGGCAAAGCGTAAGCCCTAAACCCTAAACCCTAAACCCTAAACCCTAAACCCTAAACCCTAAACCCTAAACCCTAAACCCTAAACCCTAAACCCTAAACCCTAAACCCTAACGTAAACCCTAGACCCAGGAGCATCTGGACCTCCATCAGCTCGACTTGCTGGATCCGCAAAACCTGCAGACCTGGTGGAATCTGCGGGAACACCTCCTGGCGGCTTACCTTAGTCAACTCTTTGTGGTGCTTTACTGCAACTTTAGATCCTTAACCTGTTTGGGTTTATTGGGCTTCTTGTAATAAGGCAGCTACAAGTCTAATTGCTTACTACCCTCCTAAGTGGAGCCAAGAAATCATCTGGTTCAGGGCTGAGAGTTCAACTTTGTTGGAGGGTGTGTGGGGGGGGGGGGGGGGGGCGTCAGTAAGTCCAAAGTAAGAGTATCATAGAAATTGTAGTATCATAGTCATGACACGAAGAAGAGTTCTAGTACGAATAGCTCCGAAGATCTCAAATGACAGTACCAATAGTAATATTACTTTTGCAAGCAATTCTCTGAATACTTGTTATTTCAGTCAGATTCATAATCAATACCAACAACTCTTTAATCATACAGGAAGATGACTAGCAACAGTAAGAAGAACCATGGAGACCGAAGATCAGCCTCCTTTTCCGGGGCATGAGAGAAGGTCGATTTCCAAGACGAGTCCGCAATCATGGATGCATGTGGGGTCATTGTGGCGTGCCTGCTGGTTGGCTTCATCTTCAGCGCCATGGTCGAGTGGTCCCTTTCCGGAAATCCGCTGTCGCCCGCCTTCGTGATCATCATGACGCTCTCCTTCTTCCTTATTTTCGCCGTCTACAAGGTCTTCGAGGTGCCTAAACCGCAAGGCCCTAACGCCCCAACACCTACAACCTTGAAGACATCTTTCCAGTACGGGAATCAGGAACTGGAAACTAAACAAAATGCGACTTGGGGCTTGCCAACTCCATAACAGTACTACCAGTGGACTCACTCAAACTCCAAATGTCGAAAAGTCCATGTGCCCACACAGTATCTTTGGGCCCCAAAACTACTAGCTGGGAACCCCTGAAAGGCCCAAGTATCTACCGAAGCCCAAAACCCTCAACCCTTAAACCCTACACCCTAAACCCTAAACCCTAAACCCTCTACTAGATAGGTACATGGACCTCTAGGGACAGTCCTCAAGAGAGCTGAAGAATGATCCCGTAATTTCCATGCAGTGCCCGAGCCGACAGGTCCCCCCAGGCTCCGGAAGTTCGTGAAAGGGTTTAGGGTTTAGGGTTTACGGTTTAGGGTTTAGGGTTTAGGGTTTAGGGTTTAGGGTTTAGGGTTTAGGGTCCTAAAGTTTAGGGTTTAGAGCTTAGGGTCTTAAAGTTTAGGGTTTAGGGTCTTAAAGTTTAGGGTTTCGGGCTCAGGGCTTGAGGGTTCACACCCCCATAGAGGCCTCAAACCACTTGAGCCCTAAGCCCTAAACCCTCAGAAGCCGCCACCCCACACCCAATGGACCCGAAACCCTGCGGACCTTAAAGGGTTTAGAGTTTAGGTAGGGCTTAGGGCTTAGGGCTTAGGGCTTAGGGCTTCGGGCTTCGGGCTTAGGGCTTAGGGCTTAGGGCTTAGGGCTTAGTAAAGTTTAGGGTTTAGGGTTTAGTGTTTGGGGTTTTCCACAGGCGTGCATCGAGATCAACACGATCCTTGGCCGAGATCTGAAGGTCCTGGCCGACGCAACGGTCGCGGCTCAAGAGAAGCCTCTTAGCTGCTACCTTGGTCTTAGGGGAACTTGGAATTTAGTTTTTTTTTTAAAAAAATTTGGGTACTTTCATTCCTGGGAAACAGCGAAAATTATAACTTTTGCGAGGGTTCCAAGTTCAGTATAGTGATGTCGGGGATAGGGGTGTTACATGAAGGGTTTTAAGATCCTAGGGGTTTGAGGTTGCGGGTTAGGGTTCGTACCGGCTTTTGGGGCGTTGAGGGGTTTAGGTCTGCAGGCGCTTGGGCTTTTGCTTCGTTGCTGAGAACAATTCCCTCAGCTCTTTCGGGAACTACACCCGTTCCCTTTTCTTGAGAGACCATAGTAGATTTTTCATATATACATAGAAACCCTAAGCCCTAAACCCTAAGGTTTAGGGTTTAGGAGTTAGGTTCAGCGCATCTATGGGTACCAGTGTCTGCACCCCACACCCCCAACACCACCCTTGCAAGCGGAAAGGTGAGCCCCAAGCCCTAAACCCTACATCCTAAACCCTAGACACTAACTTCTTTTGCTAGAACCCAGCTCGCAAGGCTGTCGGAATTGGAAAAGGCGGGGGCTCAGGGCTTTTACGATTTTCCGGGGGCCGGGGAGGGGTTAGGAGGTCGGATGCTGGGGTTCAGGGGTTTAGGTGCGGAAAAGGGTGTATAAGTGAGGGGTTGGCTACATACTTGGGGGGCTGAATTCTGATGCGCATGAGATGGTTGCCACTTTTGAACAAAAGTCGGCGCCATGCACAGGTTCTCGTGCCAGGACACGCAGGACTCACGATAAACCTCCGCATCCGTCCACTAGCCTGATTTAGAGCCTATACTTCCAGGACCCTCACTGTCACTATGGTGTCCCTGAGGTTTCTAGTCACCCTAAGTATGTAGTAAGTCCCTGGAATGCAGAAATTTAGCGGGCACACAGCAGGCGGAGCTCTTCGAGGATGCGGACATCGCGCCTTGGGCCTTTTTGAGCCGTTGGATTTGTGGGATAAGGGTTTAGGGTGTGTAGTGCTTAGGAAACCTGAAGCAACCAAAACCCTAATTGGGGGCGCTTCCCAGAAGAGAGGCACTCTTTCGGTTCCCACAGGACTTAAAAATCTCGGTAGGTATACGGAGCCCAGGCCGCTCGCGCCGCTGCCGCACCGGACACCCACCTAAGGGCATTTCCCGAAATAGGGCCACTCTATATTCTATATGCCCTCAAGATACTCTGCCCCCTGATTACAGGAACCCTTAAAGTAAGAAGTGCTCCCTTTTTGTTCAAGTACCACGCTTACTGTCAAGTCGGAGGTGTGCAGGGTCGATGAGCTCAACCAAGGCGATAGTTCAGGGTTTAGGGTTTAGGGTTTAGGGTTTAACTGCATGCCCGCCCCCCCCCCTCCCCCCACCACAAATCCTTACACCCTTTGAACCCTGAATCGCCTTTCCTGGAGCCTTGAGGGTTCTGCCTCTTTAGGGTTCAGTGTTTAGGGTCCAGGGTTTAGGACTTTCGTGTTGAGGGTCTACAGTTTAGCTTTGGCGTTGAAACGGCTCAGGCTCCTGCATACAAGGCTGGCCTTTCCAGGGCCAGCAGCATGCTGGATGCAATGCAAAAGAGATTGGTCACAGATGATGACGCTGAGATCTTATGGCTTATAGGGTTTTAGGGTTCAGGCTTTGGGTAAGGCCCTGGGAGTTATCTTTGTGGTGCTTTACTGTAACTTTAGATCCTTAGCGTTTTTGGGTTGAATTATTGGGTTACCTAGTAAAGCAGCTAAGAGTTTAGTTTTTTACTACCCTCCTAAGTGGAGCCAAGTTTGTGTAAGGAGAGGCAGCAGCTTTTGGGCTTTACCGTGAATGCCAACATGCGTAATGGATGGGCTCTCTCCCTCCTGATCACAAGCCTCAACTGGGCTTATGGATATCTCCGACCTGCTTTCACCAATCTCGATGTCGAGAAGATGCAAGAGCTTCTGCGGAATATCACATCGGATTAGCCGTCTGCGAACACCCAGACAGCCCAATACCCCATAATTGTGCAGCGCGCCTGAAACTCGAAGAGGGATGTCCAATACGAAGTAATGGTGGACTCTGTAACCCTAAACCCTAAACCCCAAACCCTAAACAACTACGGGGTATTGGGGGCTCCCTGGGATCCTACGCCGAAGCAAGGCGAATTTTGACCCCTTTTTTGGGGGGGGGTACCCGAAATGGTCAGTTCTCTAAATTATGGTCCCTGTTTAAGCCCTAAACCCTAAACCCCTTTTTGGACACCAAAAGGGACCATTTTGTAGAGGAGTGACTACATAATACGGCACCCTTACTACGACAAGGACCCCCAAAAGGGTACTCAAATTTAGAGAACTACCTGCAGAATGAGTTTAAGAATCTTTGTTTCTTGACTTTGGAAGCCCAGTGGTGCCCTTTGGCATTTTTTGAGGGTTTAGGGTTTAGGGTTTAGGGTTTAGGGTTTAGGGTTTAGGGTTTATAGGTTCCTTGAAAATTACAAAACTAACCAACACCAAAGAGGGGTCCTTCCAAGGTGGTTGCTGGGATACCTTGATAGCTGCGGAATCCTGCGACAGGATATCTCTGCAAGCATGTACTTGGAGGTTCATGGTACTTATTTACCAATGCTATATAGGATTGGGGGTTTTGGGTTTTGGGTTTAGGGTCTAGGGTCTAGGGTTCAGGGTTTAGGGTTTAGGGTTTAGGGTTTAGGGGCTTCAGGGTACTTATTAACCAATTATAACTGTACTTATATGACGCACTTATGGGCCCCTTAACGTGCCCTAATAGGGTTATAAGTACAGTTCTGATTCGTCAGTAAGTACCATGAACCTCCAAGTATGAATGCACAGAGGGCTTCATGGCACCCTGGTGGGGATATGGACCTGAGGTACCTCCGTCGTCAGGCCGAAGCCTACCTCATTAGTAACCTGCCGTTCCCACCGCTTTTCCAGCAGCTGCGCGTTCACCCCATCTCAAGGATGGGCCGCGTGTGCGGCGCAACTGGCGAGTGCAAAAGGTTTGCCTGGTGAAGGTTCCTAGGCCCAGCGTCCAAATTACCCTAAACCCTAAACCCGAAACAGCCCTAAGGCCCTAGACCCCAAGCCCACAAAGACCTAAACCCAAATTACGGCCAACCCTACACCCTAAACCCTAAACCCTAAACCCTAAACCCTAGGAGGGCTCAAAAACCCCCGGGGCGAGCTTTTTGTTTTGTTGTGGTGTTTGCGGTATGGGGTTTATTAGGCTGCATCACGGTGCTTTCTTTTTTTGGCGTGGAAGGGTGGGAGGGGGGGGCGGGGGGGCCTTCATGGATTTCGAATCTCTGAGGGCAGCTTTCGTGGCAGACAGCTATCCCAAGTAGCCAATCTACTTTCAGGGACCCGTACCTTCAACCTCAAACCCTAAATCCCAAGCCCCAAACCCCAAACCCCAAAACCCAAAACCCAAAACCCTAACCCTAAACCCTAAACAAATGATTCAGGTATAGTCCTAAACCCTAAACCCTAAACCCTAAACCCTAAATCAGTCTCGGGTTCCGACAGAAAGCGGAAGGCTCGCATGCAGAGCGTGATCTACCAGCACCGGGAAGAGGCGCGCACTTGGCTCTTCTGTGACCCCCGAGCCCCCAGAAGCCTAAAAACCCTTTCAGGGTTTAGGGTTTAGGGTTTAGGGTTTAGGGTTTAGGGTTTAGGGATGAGACTAGAGGCTCTGCCAACTCCCATGCTTGGAGCCCGTACCTACATTCAACCCCAGCAAAACACACCAAAGACCACCCATTCTCATACCTACTCGTACTTTCAGGGCCCTTAAGGGGGCGGGAGGGTTCATGGGGGGTAGGTACCTTCGGAACCTGAGGTTAGGGAGCCCTAGGGAGTAGTGTGGCTTGTTAGGGATCCTTGATTTGTCTACCCCCCCCTATGGGACCCAAAAAGAGGTAGCCCCTATTCCTTTTGGGGGGGCTGAGGTTTCCTAATAAGCCCCCTTAAATCAAAGTGGGCACCCCCGTTAAGTCCTAGGATACTCTTGGGGTCTAGACACGTAGGTTATTGGAGCCTAGCATCTTCAGCGCCAGACTATATAAATCTTGGGCTCTAGAGTTTCCGGGGTGGGGTAAAGTGGCCTAGAGGTTGAGGGTATGGGTGTGGGGTTTGGCGTTTCGTGTACAAGTGTAGAGTTTAGGGTTTAGGGTTTAGGGTTTAGGGTTACAATGTGAACCCTAAACCCCCCAAAAAGGCACATTCCCCACGCTGTTGCTGCGAAATCTTCATCTTGCCCAACCCCCCTCCCCATCTGGTGATCCGACTGAGCAAAGCCAGAAGCTACACTAGGTTGTCCGTTTCCGCTTCGCTTCGTCTTTTTCTTTTGGGGTGGAGGAGGGGGGGGGGGGGGCGGGGGGCCTACACCCCAAACCCTAAACCCTAAACCCGAAACCGGGGGGGGGGGGGTCGGGCGAGCGGATGCTAGTTCTCTTTTCAAACTACCCGATAGAACAGAAGAGCCCCTGACTTCCTAGGTTACCGGGGTTCCCAGCGCCCAAGGCAAGGGTTTTAATTGAGATTATAGTATCCCCTAGTAGAGGGGTTCCAGAGTTAGGGTTTAGGGTTTAGGGTTTAGGGTTTAGGGTTCAGGGTTTAGGGTTTAGGGTTTAGGGTTTAGGGTTTAGGGATCCCGCAGAACATCCCCATGCGTGAGGGCTTAGGGTTGTAAGCCCTTGCCCTCTCTTCGGGTCACCTGGTCGTTTGATGTGGGCCCTGAAAGGGGGACCCCTGATATGCCCCCTTATATACCCTAAACAACCCAAGGGCCCATACTTCAGAACCCCTATACAGGAGGTAAGGGACCCCTAAACGCCCATGAAACTACCCTTAGACCCTTGCGACCAGGAGCACAGTGCGACGTGCCAGGAGCTGGCACGCAGGCTTCCATCCCAAAGTGGTGCAGGATTGGGGTTTAGGTTTAGGGTTCAGGGTGTAGGGTTTAGGGTCTAGGGTCTAGGGTTTAGGGTCTAGGGTTTAGGGCGAAAGGGAGCCCTATGCTGAAGCACACCCCATGGGCCACATCATGAGCACCTGCCAGACTTTTGCGAGCATCGTATGCGTCAGCTGCATATTTGCCCGCAAGGGAAGGGCCCGCAGGGGCGAGCATCATGAGTATCAGCTGGGTGTGTCACTCCCATGGTGGAGGTAGCTGCGAGCACCTTGAGTATCAGCTGGTGGTGCAAGCAGAAAAACCTGCTGAGTGGAGCATCATCAGCACCAGCAGGATGTGACTTGAAAGGCAACATGGGCGACGAGGCTCTGAACACGGCAAAGATCAGGTAAATCGAGCCCCAGGTACCTACCCCCTTAACCCTAAACCCGAAACCCCAGATCTTCAATACACTCCACAAGGGAGAGAGCTTATGCCACCTCAGGCCATAAAATTCCTAGGTCCCTAGCATTCCCTTACCTTTTAGCCTTACAGTTCTTTCATGAGGTGGTACGTCCTGGGGAACCCCAGCCCTATAACAGGGCTACCAGGTAAAACTAAACCCCAAACCCCAAACCCAAAACCCCAAACCCTTGCTTGGAGAACCATCTAGCCCCGAAGCCTTCGTGTTCAGGGTTTAGAGTTCGATTCAGCGTTTAGGGTTCAGGGTAAACCCTGGACTCAAATAAAAGCTGTTATCGAAGTTTAGGGTTTCGAGAATTTCGGCCTCAAGCGTTCGGAGTTTCAGGAGGCCCAGGATCGAGGCTTCGCAGAGGAGGGAGCTCGAGTAACTTTAAGAGTCGAGGCGGTGGCCCTGAACCCTGGCGCTTTACACCCTAAACCCGAAACCCGAAACCCTAAACCCCAAGCCCTCCTTAGACTGGCCGAAAGGCGGTTTGGGGCTTTAGGGTTTGGGGGCTTTAAGGTCTGGGGTTTAGGGTTTAGGGTTAGGGTTAGGGTTAGGGGGCTTCATGTTTTCGGGTTTTAGGCCTCTTGGGCTTTAGTCTTTCAGGGCTTTGGGTTTTAAGGTTCAGGGTATTATTTAGGGCTGCAGGGCGGGGCTTTCGGGTTTAAGGCTTTCGGATTGTTGGGTTTTGGGGCTTCAGAGCTAGTAGGAAGCCTAGACCCGCAGCTCGAGCGCCCTCATTTAAAGGCTTCTCGAGCTGTAACGGCTAAAGGTTTTGAGGTTTCTCAACCTGAAACCCTAGCAGAGTAAATTGCCAGGTCTCTGAAATTATGATAGGGGCCAAATCCGGCAAATCCCTAAGCTGCGTTAAGAACAACCTAAACCCAAAAGGCTAAACCCTAAATCCGAAAGGCTAAAGCCTACACCTAAACCTCAGAGAAAAAGAACGAAACAAAGCACTTTTGCAGGCTCCTGGAGACAGAGAAGCCGCTAGATCTCTGTCCTGCGGCCTCGGAGGCCTGCACGCCGCCTCCTTTTTGAGAGTTTGGTGGGGATGTTCCCCCTTACACTCACAGTCCTTGTTAGGGTTTGGGGTTTAGGGTTTAGGGCTATCAGTTGGGATGTTCCCCCTGATACTAACAGTCCTTAGTAGGGTTTTTGTAGCACCGACTGTTATAATCCTTATGCATCGGACTGTTAGAAAAAGGAGGAGCATCCCCAAGGTTTTTAGGGTTCTAGGCATTTGGGGTTCTAGGCTTTTAGGGTTCGGGATTTTGGGTGGATCGCCGGCCAACCATCCAAGGTCAAACCCCTTTTTGCGGCTTAGACCCGGGAAGCTTGCGGTGGTTCTTGGGCTTACGGCCCTCTGCGATGAGAGTTGCAATTTTTTGGGGTTTGGGGGTCTACTACTAGTTGCTTAAGAATCCAGAATTGCCCTTCAGTGCCGTTTAAGGGGCAATCTAGGGACCCTACACCCTGAACCTTAAACCCTACACCCTAAACCCTAAACCCTAAACCCTAAACCCTAAACCCTGCTTGCCCATTAAGAACCAATACGCTTTGGGGCGCCTTGGACTTGAGGGTGTCCAGGGCCGCAGGGTTCGAAGCACC